AAAGAGTGTCGGTTTCGGAGGCGAGAGTGGAGAGGGGAAGCCCTCTCTATCATTATCTGGAAACAAAGCCCTAGTTTTATTTTAAAACGTCACCGCACGGCCTCGTCCTTTCTCCAGCCTCATGTCCCCTCACGGTCTCGCTTCCTCACGTTTTCGCTATGCCCTCATAGTCTCTCACCCTCTCTCGTCCCTTTGGTTCGGACTATCCGCAAGTACGGGTAATCGGTTGACGAAACCCATGATCCGAGTTCTCGTGGACGGATAACCCGACCTCGTACTCGCCTCGATCGGGTAACCGAATTTCAGATACCCGTGGAAGAAATGCCCGAGAATATTCGAAATTCAGTTTCTTGTCCAATGCTAAGGCTTTAAAGGATTCTAGTAAGTAGGGTTTGAGACTATCCATCATCATTGGCGTTGTTTATACATTTGAGTTTTTTTTAAGATCTGTTTTTGGTAGCGTCGATATTGTTGTTAGGGGTGCATATTTCAAGTGTCGATTTGTTTTTTTTTGTAAAAAAATATATATCGGTTTTTTAATCCATTCGACTTTGTTTGATTTCAGTTTTCAAAAAAAAATCTAATTTTTAAAGAAAATTTCATTTTTTTAAAAAAAATCGATTTTTTTTAATGATCGGTTAGGTTCGCATTCAGTTGGATTAATTTAATTTTAGAGAAAGTTATAATCCATCCGTCCCTTTCTAACAGGAAAATCAGTCATTGGTTTCTGATTTCAACTTATTAAACTGCTTCTATTTTTGGACAAAATATGTCAAAATGAAATAATGTAATTGAATTTATCTTACTATGCACGGGGATCGAAATTGAAAATGATTGGAGTTAGATTTTGGATTGGACCGTAGAAAGATGTATTTATCTTTCAGTAAGCGGTGAAGGGCAGATACAACTGCCCTAACCAACACCCAAACCAAAAAAACATAAAAAAAATCGCAATTCCTGTCTCCTCACGTTATGTGTATCTTATTCTACTGTTTTTATTATGACCATAACACTCGTGGCTTTCGTGTCGCCTTTGAAGCCGTGTCCTGGTCGAGACAAAGCATGCACATGCTCATGCATGTATACATACGTTTTTATCCATATATGTATGTATATACGTGCATGGGCGGACCCAAGTTAATAAGAGCGGGGCACATGCCCCCATTGATCCAATAAAAATCTATTAATTTTCCTTATAATTTTTTAAATACATTAGTTAAAAGCCCCATGTAAATATTAAAATTAAATTGTGTCCCTCTCAAATATTTCTCTAGGTCCGTCCATATATACGTACATTTCATGTATTATTTTTTCTAAGAAATCATGGAATCCATGTATACGTATATTTCATGTATTATTTTTTCTAAGAAATCATGGAATCAATTGTTGACCATAATTAAAAAAAAAAAAGGAGAGAGATTACTTGTTATAGAAGAAAAATCATGACCAAAACCATGGGTTATATCAATTTGATTGCGACACATGAAGTATTGAACTGAAACTGAACATAAATGAGTATTATTAAATGCATATTATCAAGAGTTCAATGGATTTTCCATGAAAGGAAATAATTCACTTAAAATAGTATTTACCAATCAAGTACCTTAAGCCCCAAGAAATAGACATAATGTCCTTCAAGTTGGGAAAAAAAAAAAAATTCTCACCTACTCAAATAAATGCTTCTATAACATCATTACTCTTTGTTAATAACACATTCAAAATATTTTTTTTATATAAAAAAAGTTAGATACTTGGAGAGATCACCAAACCGATTGACGTTATGTTATGTTTTTATGTTCTTCCCTCTTCTCCCTATAAAGCGTTTCACTTCCATTGCGGCTTTTCTCTTCGTGGGTAAGAGAGAAGACCATTAATTAACTCACACGCAACGCAAATGTCTGGTCTGCTCGGAAAGTTATCTCCGGTAAGACGTGTGGCCGGCGATGATCTCCCTTTGTTTAACGTTGACCAGGCATCATTGGAGCTTCAGGGATATCCTAGAAGAGACAAACAGAGGCTGTCAGCCACACTCGCCGACCTTCTGATTCCTGTGGAGGGTTCCACCAGTGACCACCATCATCATCAAGCCTTGGATTCATGGAGCTCGGTTCCCACTTCTTCTGCATCTCCTTCCTTGTTCGTTCTTTCCTTCAACGACCTGAGTTACAGCGTGAAGATCAGGAAGAAGTTTGAGCTCTTCCCTTGCCAAGGGAAATCAGCTTCTGATGGCAATGGTTCGGCTGTGAACACTAAGGTCCTTCTGAATGGTATTTCGGGTGAAGCCCGAGATGGGGAAATCATGGCCGTTCTTGGAGCAAGTGGGTCGGGGAAATCTACACTGATCGATGCCTTAGCCAACAGGATTGCCAAGGAGAGCCTCCGAGGCTCTATCGCCTTAAACGGGGAAGTTCTCGAATCGAGTTTGCTGAAAGTCATATCTGCTTATGTGATGCAAGATGATCTTCTCTTCCCTATGCTTACAGTGGAAGAAACCCTAATGTTCTCTGCAGAGTTCCGGCTTCCTCGTTCGTTGTCCAAGAAGAAGAAGAAGGCTCGAGTCCAAGCTCTGATCGACCAGTTGGGTCTGAAGAGCGCTGCAAAAACCATCATCGGGGATGAGGGCCATAGGGGAGTCTCGGGGGGAGAACGGAGACGGGTTTCAATCGGTATCGACATAATCCATGATCCGATTATCCTCTTTCTCGATGAACCAACATCCGGGCTCGACTCTACCAGCGCTTTCATGGTGGTCAAAGTGCTTCAGAGGATCGCAGAGAGTGGCAGCATAGTTATCATGTCGATCCACCAGCCAAGCTACAGAATCTTGGGTTTGCTCGATCGGTTGATCTTCCTTTCCCGAGGAAACACAGTTTACAGCGGATCACCAGCTAATCTCCCTCGGTTTTTCTCAGAATTTGGTCATCCAATCCCTGAAAACGAGAACAAAACAGAGTTTGCACTTGATCTTATCCGCGAGCTAGAAGATTCGCCCGAAGGCACCAAAACCCTAGTCGAATTCCACAAGCAATGGCGGATGAAGCAGACCTCAAGCCTCAACATCAACAACAACAATGCCAGCAGACAGAACCAGAACAGAAACACCAACGTCTCTCTGAAAGATGCTATAAGCGCGAGCATTTCAAGGGGAAAACTCGTTTCTGGATCAACAAGCGATTCCGCAAACCTAACATCCTCAGTTTCGACATTCGCAAATCCGTATTGGATCGAAATGATCGTGATTGGGAAACGAGCATTACTGAATTCGAGAAGACAGCCCGAGCTCTTCGGAATTCGATTAGGAGCAGTTCTAGTCACTGGAATCATCCTGGCCACGATCTTCTGGAAACTAGACAGCTCCCCAAAAGGGGTCCAAGAACGTCTAGGGTTCTTCGCCTTCGCCATGTCCACAACCTTCTACACCTGCGCAGAAGCAATCCCGGTTTTCCTACAAGAACGCTACATCTTCATGAGAGAAACCGCGTATAATGCTTACCGGAGATCCTCCTACGTCCTCGCTCAATCCATAATCTCGATCCCATCACTCATCGTCCTCTCCATCAGCTTCGCCGCCACAACCTTCTGGGCAGTCGGACTCGCCGGTGGCGGAAATGGGTTCCTCTACTTCTTCCTCACCATCCTCGCCTCCTTCTGGGCCGGAAGCTCCTTCGTGACGTTCCTCTCCGGCGTCGTATCTCACGTCATGCTCGGATTCACCGTCGTCGTCGCGATCCTCGCATACTTCCTCCTATTCTCAGGATTCTTCATCTCCAGAGACAGAATCCCTCTCTACTGGATCTGGTTCCACTACATCTCCCTCGTGAAATACCCATACGAAGGCGTTCTACAGAACGAATTCGAAGACCCGACGAAGTGCTTCGCCCGTGGGATTCAGATGTTCGACAATTCACCGCTGGGACAAGCTCCGGAGGCCGTGAAGATGCGGCTGCTAAGCAGCATGAGCGGCGTTCTGGGGATCAACCTGACGGCGGAGACATGCGTGACAACGGGGATCGACATTCTGAAGCAACAAGGGATCGGAAATCTCGGAAAATGGGATTGCTTGTGGATCACCATCGCTTGGGGCTTCTTCTTTAGGGTTTTGTTCTACTTCACGCTGTTGATCGGAAGCAAGAACAAGCGGAGGTGAAGAAGAAGCGGAAGAAGAACATTTACTAATTTCAGGGAAACTTTTTATATTCTAAAAAATTTAAAAAGTGAGATAAAAGGAAAGGAAATTGTCATATTTACTCTGGTTTTTTCGAGATATATTTATATTATATGTATTTATATTTCTTTTGTTGTGATTGAATTTAAATTTTAAATTTCATGCCAAATTATTTTCTTAACAATGAATTTGGAATTTAAAATTTTGTAATATGGAATTACAATTTTTTAATTTATTTATATTTTAGTGAAATAATTATAGAGTTTTATGTTAGGGTTTTATCCAAATAATTAATTTGTCGATACGCAAAACTTAATGGGCTTAATGAGAGAGGTCCATTAAAGGCCCAAACAATCTAGTTTCTGTATATTAGAATCTTTGTTCTCTCTTGTTTAATCCTGACCGTTAGTTTTAAAAAGCTTCCAGCTAATCAGGACCGTTGATTGCTACCAGTCGGTTTCATCCTTCTTGTAACAAGTTCAAGGTTTAGGCGCTTGCGCGCGCTTCTTCTCGTCTTTTTCAAGATTAGGGGTGCCAAATTCTGCCCTCATTCTTTCTCCAGGTACGGATTCCGTAAAATTTGGATCTTTTTTCTCGAATTTGTGATTGTTTAGACTCTAAATCACAGTTTCTTTTGTGGATTCAACCATTCCACGGTATCGATTCTTTCAGTGTTTTGTTTTCATCATCTGGATTTCTGTGTTGTCATCGGAAGGTTGACGAATAGTGATTTACTTGACTAAGTTTGATAAGACACGTTATTCGAATTCTTTGTTGGCGCGTGATGAGAAAAGTTTGGTTGAAATTTGATTCGTTTTGGTACGCATCCACGATTTGCGTTCTATCTCGAATATGTAGGTATTGCCATGGATTTTTTTTTTTTTTGTGTATTGATGTAGATGCCTATAGTGTTGCTCTCATAGCGTTGTGATTCAATTTTGTCTTGCCACAGTTTGAAAATGGCTCCTTATGATGATCGTCGGCATGGAATTACCCGTCTCTACGTGGGCCAATTGTCGTCTACAACTCGCACTCGAGACCTAGAACGTCTCTTTAGCCGATACGGAAGGTAACATAATCATTCATTCTGTCTATGGATGCAGTGCCTCAAATTTTGTATCTCAGGCTTGGGAGGGGTTTTTAATTTGACCTTTGTCGTATGAATCCCGAAAGATTTTTGTTTGTTCCATGTGGAACAAGATAAACAATAGCAGGGCTCAAAGTTTGTCTTTTTGGTTATTGGTCTTGCTACTTACTGTAAGTTGATGTCCTATAATCTGTGTGGGAAACTTCTGGATCTAGGTTTAGTGCCTTTTTAGCTTAACCTGGTGGGGTTTGATGAATGGGTCGGTTCGCATTGTTGGAATTGGTGGAAATTCTCGCCAGGTGTATATGTCCCTTCGGCAATTCTGTTTGCTCTCTTATTGCGGTTTTTTTAGTGGAGACGGCAACGATCTCAGACAAATGTTTAACAGTTCCTTAAGTAATGATGGCCTTACCTTTCTCTGGCAACAATTTCCGCAGAGTGCAAGATGTGGATATGAAGCGCAACTATGCTTTTGTTGTAAGTATCTTTTCTCTCAAGTTTGATTGCTCGAAGTGGTTGGTTATATATTTGGTATTTGGTTGTAAACCGACTGTTGACAACAGGAATTTAGTGATCCCCGTGATGCCGATGACGCAAGATATCACTTGGATCGACGGGAATATGATGGAAGTCGTCTCGTCGTGAAATTTTCAAGAGGGGTGAGTTGTTTTGTTTCTCTATCTACTGGTTTCATCAAATTGGGACGAGTGACGCAAAATCATGAATTTTATGGTAGGCACCTCGTAGTTCCCGAGAATACGGTGGTGGCAGTGGCAGAGGTCCACCTGCGGGATCTGGTCGCTGTTTCAATTGCGGTGTTGATGGTCACTGGGCTCGTGACTGCAGAGCTGGGGACTGGAAGGACAAATGTTACCGCTGTGGGGAAAAGGGACATATTGAGAGAAACTGTAGGAAGAGTCCCAAGAAGCTCAGGTAGTACTTGGTCTGTGCATAGTGACATTCCTTTCAAAATCTCGTTTTTTGATGTGGCCTTAGGCGTGGTGGAAGTTATTCGAGGTCACCGGTGAGATCCCGCTCCCCTCGTCGCAGAAGCCTTAGCCAGAGCCGGAGCCACAACCGCCGCCAGAGCTGCAGGTTATTATAATCGGTTACCCCTTATGCGTTTTGCTTTGAGATTTCTTTTTTCACCTGGGTTTTGGTAGATAAAACTAAAGAAACACCAAATTTTCGAACCGATAACTTTCGTAAACCGCGGTTAGAAATGCTTTTGTTTGGCAACTAGTATACACGTGAACTGGTGTGCATACTGATCTTTTGTTTTCCTTGTCAACAATCAGTGGGTCAAGATCCCCTGATGCGGCGAGATCGAGCAGTCCAGCAAAGCCGAGGGAGGAGGATAAGCCGTCGCCGAGAGGAGGTAGGGATGGGAGTCCATCCCCACACGAGGAACGTAGCCCGGGGAGGGATAGAGACAGCAGCCCTCGGGATTCTCCAAAACACCAAAAGCGAGAGGGTAGTCCCACAGAGAATGGCGAGAGCTCTGTTATCAGCCCTCGTCTTGGAGGCGGCGAAAGCCCGAGGGATGATAACTTCCAAGATAACGGTCGTTATGGTTTACGGCTCTCCTTTCTCAGAGCAAGACTGCTTTTTTCTTAACTGTCTGAACATACGTTAGTTTTTGTCAGAGAGTGCGTTTTCAGCTGAAGCTCTTGTCATATCTTTCTCTTCCTCTTTTGTCTTCTTGTAGAAAACAAGACCCATTTGCCAGTTATGAACAAGGTGGGCTCCCCCTATCCCCTAAAACCAACGAAAATGTTAAAACGAATTTAAAAATTATTGTAGTTTGAAAATTTTAACTAAATATATCATATTTATTCTCACCCTTTTGTAGACTAAATTATTAGTTGAACTTCTTTTATAAATTTAAAGACCCAAACTCTTAGACTGAACACATTTCTCACTAACTTCCTTGTTGCATAATAAAATAGGAATAAGTACTGTCTAATTTTGCTGTCTTGTTAGCATTTTAATTATCTAGCATATTTTTTTAATCATTGAGATATTGAAATGATGGATTGTGAAAAAAAAAAGATTTAGTTATTGAAATAAATAACTGAAAACAATTGGATACTAATTTCAATTTTTTAATGGGTTACAGATTTTTATGTGTTTAGAAATAAATTTTCAGTGAAATTAGGATCCTGATTAATTAGTTGCAAAGGCTGTGAGATGATGTTATGATTATGAATGAAGGTGAGCGTCGAAATCCAACGAGCCTTGCAGAGTCTGCGCAGTACGGCCATCGTCGACGGCGGCGCGTACGGTCATCTCGTTCATCACTTCACCCTACACCGGCTTCCTCTCCACGCGCTTCAGCTTCACGCGCGCATCGTCCTCTTCTCCGTCACTCCCGATAATTTCCTCGCTTCCAGGCTCATCAATTTCTACACGAGACAGAACCGTTTCCGACAAGCCCACCATGTGTTCGACGAAATCCCCGTTCGAAACGCCTTCTCCTACAACGCGCTTCTTATCGCGTACACTTCACGTGAGATGCATTCCGATGCGGTATCATTGTTCTCGTCTTGGATTGCGTCTTACTGTTACTCCTCCGGTGCGGCGAGGCCGGATGGTGTTAGTATCTCTAATGTGTTGAAGGCCATGTCCGGATACGATGGTTGCTGGTTCGATTCCTTAGCCCGGGAGGTTCACTGCTACGTGTTGCGAGGTGGGTTTGATTCCGATGTGTTCGTGGGTAATGGCTTGGTCACGTACTACGCAAAATGTGGCCAAGTTGCATCTGCGAGGAGAGTGTTTGATGGAATGCCTGAGAGAGACGTTGTCTCGTGGAATTCAATGATTTCTGGGTATTCTCAAAGTGGATTTCACGAGGAATGCAAGGAATTGTATAAAACGATGTTGACTTGTCCTGGTTTGAGGCCTAATGGAGTGACTGCAATTAGTGTAATTCAGTCGTGTGGCCATTCAAACGATCTTGTTTTTGGTATGGAGGTACATAAGCAGATTCTTGAGAATTTTATTCAGATGGATTTATCCCTATGTAATGCTGTAGTCGGGTTTTATGCTAAATGTGGTAGCTTGGACTATGCAAGAGCATTATTTGATGCGGTGGGTGATAAAGATTCTGTTACATACGGGGCTATGATTTCAGGATACATGGCTCATGGATTTATCAGAGAAGCAATGACTTTGTTTAGGGAAACAGAAAGCATCGGTTTGAGTACGTGGAACTCTGTAATTTCGGGTCTTATGCAGAATAATCAGCCTGAGGAGGTTGTAAGCTTATTCAGGGAAATGATAAAATGCGGTTTTAGGCCTAACGCAGTGACCCTTTCGAGCATTCTTCCTTCGTTCAGTTACAATTCTAACCTAACTGGAGGGAAGGAAATCCATGCTTTTGCCATCCGGAATGGCTGTGGTGGTAATATATATGTCGCAACGGCTGTCATAGATAACTATGCCAAATTAGGATTTCTTCAAGGATCTCAAAGGGTGTTTAATAACTGTAAAGACAGGAGCTTGATTGTCTGGACAGCAATTATATCGGCATATGCTGTTCATGGGGACTCTGAAGCTGCTTGTAATCTTTTTTATCAAATGCAGAGTCATGGAATTAAGCCAGACAATGTCACACTAACGACTGTTCTTTCGGCTTGTGCACATTCTGGAGAAGTGGATAAGGCACGGAACATTTTTGATTCTATGTCAGTAAGCTATGGTATTGAGCCAGGAATAGAGCATTATGCTTGTATGGTAAGCGCTCTTAGCCGGGCCGGAAAGCTCTCAGAAGCAGTAGAGTTTATCCTGAAGATGCCGATAGAACCGAGCGCTAAAGTTTGGGGAGCATTGCTAAATGGGGCTTCTGTTCTCGGTGACGTGGAGATTGCAAGATTTGCATGTGACCGTTTGTTTGAGATTGAACCCGAAAACACAGGAAACTACGTTATCATGGCGAATCTATATACTCAAACCGGGAAATGGGAGGAAGCTGAGATGGTCAGGGATAAGATGAAGGGAACTGGTTTGAAGAAGATAGCAGGCAGTAGCTGGATTGAGACAGGAAAAGGATTGAGGAGTTTCATTGCAAAAGACATTTCATGTGAAAGAAGCAAAGAGATGTGTACAGTTCTAGAGGGTTTGGTTGAGGCAATGAGAGACAGAGGTTATGTCATGAGACAAGAAGAGACTTATGATGCTTAAACTAGTTAGTTGGAACTGAGATTATTCTGTTTATGTAAATAAGATCCAGGTAAAATTATGGGAGATTTTCAGTTATGGATCCATATTTGAGTTTTGAGGCATACTTACAATTTTCGATACAAATATGAATATATATGAAATGCAGTAAATGCTAGATGGTTATTCAGTTTGATATATCATAATCATATATGCACTTTAATGGACTGCCCCCACAAAGCGAATATTAAAGTAAATAAAATATTAGGTCTAAATAGATCTGAAGTGTAAGTTTGGTGAGCCTCTGTCTGTTAGTGGCAAAACATACGTGGTACGATATTGTCGGTAATTTGTAATTTCCTTATATATTTAGTAATGAATCTGTATGAAATTAAAGTTAGAAATTTAAATATATGAAAAGCATAATATATATATATCAGATTGTGTCCGATAAATATAATATAACATATTTATAATAAATTAAGTTATTTGAAATAAAAGTAGAGAGAAAATATGGATCACTTATTATTTTTGTTTTTAATAATAATTTTTTTTTAAAGTAATGATATATATATCACAATAATATAAAACATAATTAGTATCAAAGAAAAAGAAAAGAAAAGGGTTTACCATGGAAAAACTTAATTTACTGTGTTATAAAAAGAAATTTAACAAAATGGTGCCCCAAAATAAAAATATTATTACAAATGAACTCACGAGACTTGAATAATATGACTATCTTCCAAAACTAACAGAGTTGCAACTGTCCAAAACCCTCCTCTGTCCTTTTCCTGTCGACAACCCAAGATTCTTCTCGTTGATAAAACCCTAAACAAAAAAAAAAAGTTCAAATTTTTTTTCTTGTGGGTGTAATTTCCCTCCTCTCTCAAATTTAGGGTTTTTTTTTTGGATTTGGATCTTTGGAAGAAGGTTCAGGGTAAGTAGAATTCAATAATGCGAATCTCAAGATATGAATGCTATTGAATAACCAATCAATGTGATGTTACATGACACGATCTCACACTTTTATCCGTTTGCAGTATGTTTCTGCTATTTGAGCTTTGAGTTCAAGCTTCAAAGAGTTGGTTCTGGTGACTGAATAGAGGAGATATTATGATGATCCATACCTACCACGACAGCACAAAATGCAGGTCTCTCTCTCTCTCTCTCTCTCTCTCTCTCTCTCCTCTCCATAGATACACACACACATATGTATATATGCATGTATACGCTTTCATGTATGTTTAGAGATTGAGACACTTTGTTCCATTTGATTGGAGAAAAGAACACATTGTACAAGTGAGAAGATGGAAGAAGAAGGAGGAGGTTTCAGGACAGTGGAGTGTCTAAGAGGAAGATTGCTAGCAGAGAGACAAGCTTCAAGAACTGCAAGAGAAGAAGCAGAGCTTATGTGCATAAAGGTTTACCTTTTCTCCCCATAGATCTCAACTTTATGTGTTTTTTCTTCATCAATTATGATTTCGAACAAAAAAGGAACCATTTTTATGCTTTTGAATCATCTGGGTCTGACCAAGAACCAAGAAAGAATCGTTCTTTTATGTTTTCTAATATGATCAAGGGCCCAAAAAGAACCAATCTTATATCTTGAAGGCATTCTTTCATTACATGATGAATATTCATTGTTCTTCTGGTTATAGATAACAGAGCTAGAGGTACATCTCGAAGAAGAGATCAAACTAAGGGAAAGATTAGGATTTCTTCAAGGATCTCAAAGGGTGTTTAATAACTGTAAAGACAGGAGCTTGATTGTCTGGACAGCAATTATATCGGCATATGCTGTTCATGGGGACTCTGAAGCTGCTTGTAATCTTTTTTATCAAATGCAGAGTCATGGAATTAAGCCAGACAATGTCACACTAACGACTGTTCTTTCGGCTTTTTGCCC